CTTTTCGACCATTTAGTCTATATACATACAAGCGCTTCATCAAAACTTATCGAACATCCTGTATATAATACATACACACATGTTCGTGTGCACGCGCAAACACACACATACACACACCCACATACACATTTATACAGATATTTATCTCTATAATTTTGGTTTAAATTATACATTTAGATATATTTTTTAGATAATGGCGCTTCGAAGAAGAAAGTTCAACTGAGTTTTGGTGTTGCGACAAATCCTTTTCTTCAATCGTCCAACCTAAATCTTCCCAATATTCAAAACAATCCTTTCCTGTATCCATCAAATGGTAACAGAATTGAAAATCCATTGTCAAATGCTGTTGTAACACAGGCATCCAATATAGCCTTTCCCAATAATAACTATAATCCCTTTCCTAATAGTAATGCGAATCCTTTCCTAAGAAACTTAGGAAACTTTCATAATTCTACTAGAGAAATAATTGATTCAAAGGTTGAGGTGGAGTATTCTAATTCACCAAGCCCTGTTTCGCAAACACCTTACACACCACTACCATCCTATCATACATCAACATCATTTAATATACCAGTATTTGATACGCCAGCACCGAATAATGATTTTACATTTCATACGCCTACTCCTAAAATTCATCCTCCAATTTCACACGTACCGTCCTGGGAAGAACTGTTACCTTCTAAGATCAGTCCAGAAAAAACGATATCAGAATTAAGTAAGTAAAATATGATCGTATATTTTAAGAACATGTAGAACTGAAAAATTTACAGGTTCAAAAATATAAATGCATAAGAAATTACACGTTTGTAATGTAAAGAGTTGAATGTGAATTTTCTTACCCTATATACATTGAACATATCCTTATATATTCAATATACATCATAATATTATAATATATATAAAATAAATTTCAGAGTGCGAAGAATATGTGAGAGAAATTGCGGGTATAACCTCGGTAATGTCTCTGACCGGTTCATCATCGGGCATATATAAAGTGATTAATACCTGTGAGAAGCTAAATCGCTTGGTGGTTGGTGGTACTGAGGCACGTGTCGACGAATTCCCTCACATGGTTGCACTAGGCAAACGCAATTTTAACGAATTTATTCTGATGTGCGGCGGCACGCTGATTTCACATGCCTGGGTGATTTCCGCTGCTCATTGCACTCATGGGACAACGTAATCTTATATATAATATTTCTCTCGCTTTAAATTCAAAAATTTTCTTTTAAACGAAAAAATAATCTTTTTTTTTCCTGCTAGTTATTTTACTGAATACAACGATAAATACAATCCCAAAATTTGAAAATATTTTTTAAGATTAATACTACAGTTTAAGCTAATACTCTCTCATTTGCTCTCTTTGACTATTTAATACAATAGTGTTTTTTTCGACATACTACACATCTTGAAAAAAAAATTATAAAATTTTAAAAGTCTACTTTTTTGATTTTCTAATTTAAATGTTTTAGAAATTGCAATCTAAAATATAACTTACATAAGTGACTGGTATCTTGCAATTATTTAAGAATTTGACTAATAAAACTAGTCCTATACACTATATCTTATTGCAGTGGCGGTATAAGTGACGCAAGGATTGGCTTTCACAGTTTATCAGATCAGAATGGCATCATAATTGTCATTAAAGATATAAAAACTCATCCGGATTACAAACCACCTCGGATGTATGCGGACATTGCTCTGGTACAACTCATGACTCCCGTTACTTTTAGCACATCTGTACGACCCGCGTGTCTTTATCAATTATTCAATACCATGCCTAGACAGGTTTGGGTAAGCGGCTGGGGTCATACCGAATATAGTAAGTAATTCGGTAGTTCCTCACATAACTTGCTATGAAATCCTAAAATCATAAGAAAAAAATCGTAAAGCTAAATGTTTTTGAAAATCTAAATATTCAAATGCTTTATATTTATTAAGAACTTACATGTAGCAGGTCATTCCTAATAAATGCAGTCCTTCATAAAAAAAAATCAAAAATTTTTATAAGATAGGAGTACTGATTCATAAATTAAATTATGTACTTCAGACGGAGAGGTGAGCGATCGATTACGAAAGGCTAAGCTGGATGTGATAGATAATCTGTCGTGTACAATACGGCATAACAGTTCCCTAGAAATTCCGTATGGTATCAGACCAAGTATGATTTGTGCTGGCGATCCTAGCGGTAACTGGACAAGGGATACTTGCCAAGGAGATTCCGGTGGTCCTCTCCAAATAGTTGATAAGAATGAATGCCTCTTCCAACTGATTGGTATCACTAGTTTTGGTAAGGCCTGCGCAATGATTGATATTCCCGGTGTTTATACTAGAGTGTCCCATTATCTTTCGTGGATCGAAGGTATAGTCTGGCCGCAAGGACAATAATCACAATTTATTCGAATTTTACGAAAGGTACAAAAAACATATTTTATTAAATTGTACTTAGTTAAATTAAGTCTTACATAAATAGTCAATTAGTTTTCAAACAATTCAAATTATTAAAGATAAAATATTATAACATTCGCAAATGTTTCTACTTATTGTTTTGTAATGTAATATACTTTTATCATGTAAAAATAATTTCAGAAAAGTCTACTTGCTTTAATTATTGTTTTTAGCAAAAAAAATTATGAATACACTTGACAGTCTGCAATTCTGACTAGAATATTGGAAAGTAAGAATAGAGAAATCACAAGATGTGGATTTAAAATACAGCAATGATGTTGATCTTCTAAACCGTTAAAAATCAAGAGATTTTGCTATCGTGAATAGTTCGCCATGTAAGGCCATCACCATAAGGGCCATGGATTGATGGGAATAAGATATGCCACCAACTTCTGTAACAATTAATATTAAGATACATTAAAATAATATTAGACAAATTTTTGGACAATGAGACTATACAAATACAAAAATAATATTGAACAAAGTATCAACAATTATATGCTAAATAAAATTTCAAGTAGCTATTATAATAAGCTTAATTTCCAATTTCCTTTAAATCAAAATCGTAGTCATTAAAATTGAAAGAACATAAGGATCTCGAATTATGTTATAATTATCCAGGATAAGTTAACTTATTTTTTAACTTATTTTTTAAGTTAAAGTTAACAACTTTGAAAATTTAATTAAATTAAGATACAAGTTAATTTATAATGAAATTAATTGAATTAAAAGTTAAGTTAATAAAAAAAATAATTGAAAACTTAAAAGTTAAATTTGTTTCTTTTTTATTTTTATAATTCATGATTCCAGGATTTCAGTCTTACAAATAACGGAAATAACAAATATATACTTCATTTAGAAAATACTCTATATTTTCTTTATATGTTTTATTTATATATACTGTTTAGTATATATAAGATTATATAAGATTCGACTATAAATACTGGCCTGTGATATGACTAAAGCTTCAGATACAATACGAAGGAGTAGCTATAATAATAAGGAATAATAGATTTCAACTTATCAGAAATTAGATACATCTAAATACACAATTTCTGACAGATTGAAATCTGAGAATCGATTGTGTAATTTAAAATGAGGTAAAAATTACAAAAGTGAGCAAATTCACTAAAATATTTATAATTTCATTGGTCAACATTTAGTAAATTTGCTTACTTTTGTAATTTTCACCTCATTTTAAGTTATCGCTGTTGCCGCATATTATGTCTATGAGACTTAATTTCAGAAAATTAAGTAAAAAATTAATAATTACGAATAAAATGTAACTAAATAAAGTTAAAAAGTTAAGTTAAAATCAATTAACTTTTTAATTTAATTTTTAACACTACCCCCAACCCTGTAATTACCATACAAACATATAAAATAATGTGTGAGATTCAGTAAGAACTTTTGTGCAAAGTTTAATATTTTTAGTTAAATTTATTTTGCTGGAAAATTCTGTAAAAGTGATATATTTTATAAATATATGCATTGCATCTCATTCGTTTAATTACTCTTTCGTTGATGATTTATATTATTGGTTGTATTTTAATCGATATGATCGCTATTTAACTACATTTTAAGCATGTATTTATAAAAGTTCTACCTGCTTTTTGTTCCTAAGAACAATCTCCAGTTCTCCCTCGATCCAAAGTCATAAGGATTTTGATAGAATTTATTCTGAGCACGATACTTTTTAGATTCCGCGCTGTTGATGTGCGCCTCGATGCTCGTCTCTCCTCGAGTGATGAGACGGGCATGCCACCAGGCTAGACCACCCAACGCTGCACATGTGGCAATACAGATCAGACCCGCAAAAATGATCAATCTTTTTCGCCATTCTTTGATCTCAGTTTCTGCCGCCTGTCTTGCTATTTCTGCTAGCTCCTCTTTGCTTAAATGATCTAATGATTCCGTCTGTATCAATTAAGCATGTATTTAAGATTTTGATTAAAGTGATAGTTAATAAAATGTATTTATGTGCAATTAACTAATGTACCATTGGAATTATTTCCGAATTATTAAGGCGTACTGGATGGCCATCTAATTCCGGTTCCTGGTCAGGGAAGAACTCTTCATAGGCGAGTTGCACGCCGAATATCATAATGAACATAACGCCAACTACGGTGTAAACCATATATAGGAAGAAATGTCGATGATTATAGTGGCCAACACAATTGTTTAACCATGCTGTGTATTGATTAAGGAAGGCTTATAGGATGTTGCAAAAAACGACTATATAAATTTTCGTTACATACAATATATGCATGATTCTATGATGAATATAATTAATTGATGAAAATTGACTATATGTATAAAATTAATTAATAAAATATCTAAGGATACGACAATGATGATCCATTTTGAGGATACACTTGTTGCAAACAGAACAATGATGTGTTCTGGGTGGCTTTGGTTTGATGCATTTCTTACAGATGCTTACAGCTTCTGGTATAAGGCCTCCCTGAGGTGGATTTCCTGCTGGCACAGTCACACCCATATAATAATGAAAGCAGACATTAACCAGCAGCCAGTTTCCAATTAGCAATAAGATTATCGTCATTAATGGACTCCGTTCCCACCACCAGGGTAGACCTACATAGTAGGCAATGTATACTATACTGATGGTCAGCAGGCTCACCATTGCTACAAACACCTACGGACTGCAGCACTTAGTAAATATATTGTGGATGTCTTGAAGTTTGTATTATGCATACAGTAGAACAAAGTATCATGGAACATTTTATGAAACTTCGTGTCTTACAGCATATACTAGTGGAGCGAACTGTGCTGAATAGTGATGCAATCAAGACAAAGAGGGGAATATTTGGTTGTGTTTTCTGTATCATTGTCAGGAGCGTTCGTAACGAATAGAGGTTAGGTTTTTTTATTAACATTTTAATTAAAGTAAATATTTATTTACTCTTTTCGTCAATTTACCTGTGAAATGATATGTCCCGATATAATTTATTATCGTCTGTCGCTTTACATGGTGATTAAACAAAAGGCTGGCATTTTGTAAGAGTTTATGACATCGTAGGAATAAGCAGGGATCACATTTCGCTGCTGTCATCATGTTACTGAACAGAAGTGGGACCTGATGAGCCAATTACAAATTGAAGGAGAAAGAAAAAGAGAGATCATTACCAAATATTTTCTTGCCAGCTCGCCAATTTACTATGTAAAACATAATGCTTGCTCCATTAATATATGCTCTAAGCTTCATGTAATAAATATAGCCATATGTCCAAGTATTACTCATTTATTGTAGAATATAAATAAAATACATTCAGTAATTTTGCAAAAAAGAATACTTTAATATTAACATAACATAATTCTAATGAGAAAATCTTAAAAATATGTTTTAGTTAATGTAAATCAGATCATGTAAAATTTTATATAGTTTATCATCACAAAGATTAGTTTTAAAATATCAAAATTCTAGTATAGATTTTTTTTAACTCAACTGAATTAATTATATAAAGTTTATTATTAGATATAAAAAACACAACAATCTTAAATGCTAAATAAAAGTTAATATATGAGATTTTGTAATTCAATACAAGGACAAGTAATATAAAAAATCTTACCGGACCCAAAAAAGAAGTAAAGTTCTCGACAAACCAGAACATGGGCTCCATAAGTATATCACAAACGTAACTCCAACTCAAAAAGTCATTGTAGAACAAAGATTTGATAGAAATTTGAAGTCGCCACCATTTCTGTTTTAAACTATCCCTTAAAATAAGTCGAATTTGATCGTCATACTTATTAAGTCCATATAAATTTAAGGTATAAAGGATCAATAAATGGGAGGATTGAAATTCAATAATTTTTAATGCAACTAACATAAACAGTAGCAAAAGTAGAAATGAAATAAACTTGGTGCGATAGAAAATAAACGTTAATAGATGTCTGGTAAATATTAAGTTCAACAAATACAAATATTTATGAATTTACCGAAGAATACTTGGCGTCTTCGTCAAAGACCATTGTATTTTCGCCATTTTCGTTTCTGTCCTCTCTGTTGAGTTCACTCAAATTCTCATAATCCTGGCATATTAAAGTCATATCTCGCAAACACACGTTCGCTCATCGTCACGTTATACTTTGCACATCTTGATAAGACATTTGATAAGGTGGTGTGACCGATAATTGCTATTGCAGCAAGAAATAATAACCTCAATCGATCTGCAAGTACAACATCGTCCGCCATATTTATTTCGAGGAATTTGGTATAGAGTCAGTAGGGTGTAGAGAGTACAGCAACTACTGGTATTAAGATAGAAATGTATTATTAAAGAAAATACGTATACAGTGTTATAAATATAATGTTTATAATATAAATATAATGTTTATCATATACATTTGCAAATTTAATTTTTGTAAAATCGTGTTATTTGTGTCAGAAAATCGAAAAAACAAGTTTATATTTTCCCGCCATTTTACAAGCGGTATTTTTAAACTCAAAAATAATCAAAAATATTCGCAAATGTGAGAAATTGTTTATTATTATATGTACATATACATATAATACACACACGCGCGCGCGCACACACGCAATGTTTATATATATGTATATTTCTATTTTATATTTTTAAAAATTAATTAAGATATCAAAATTAGTTTAATAGTCATCTGTTTAATAAAAATTTAAAATAGAATATTGAGTTCTTATCAAGTTTTTATTACAAACATAATACAAATATAAAAAGATATATGTTCTTGAATTATGTATTTTTTGATGTTATATTATATTATATATGTAAAATTTTAAGAATTTAATAGACAAATGACTGAAATAATACAGCGGTTCATGGTACAAAGGTAGATTTATTTTCTCACAGGTATGCACGAGTGTACATGCGTTTTAACAAAGGTGCATACACGTATATGTACAAACTACACGCTAATCTTGTTAAATACGCAAAAGGCGCATTTTGCATTCACAACGCCGAAAAATTCGTAATTACATTTGCGAACAAGAATAAATTCATAGAATGCTTTTAACAGTCAATTATATATATAATTGTTTCTGTCAGAGAGATTAAATCTTAAACTTCAACAATTGGAGAAAGAGTGTAATAAGTGATATTAATACTTTATCTGCCATGAAGATCGAAATAGAATAGTGCAAAAAGATTCCCCCTTTTTAGAGAAATTAAATATAAAATATCTATAAATAAAAAAATACTCGAGTAATTAAGAATTTTGTGCAATTAAAGCATTCTAAAAATAAAATATTTTGCGA